GCTTTCTCAGTACATGGGTACCCTGAACTCAGTACTTTCTCTAGGGTCATCAATATGAGCATTTGTAAAAATATCATTTAAATCCGATGAAATACGAGATGGTCGAAGAGGAGTTTCAGGCCAAATAGCATCAATAAAATTGGTAATAGCTGCACTTTCAATTAATGTTTGTTTTGTACCATCATATTCAAAATTGAAACTAGGTATACGTTCAAATGGATGATATTTATTTGCTATATCTGTATGTGGTAGTGCAAAGATTAATTTGTATGGAATAGATTTTTCTTCAAGTCCTAAACGAATCGTTCGAGTAAATGTAGAAAATGGAATACCAACAAGTTCAACATTGATAAGTTCTTTCGACATGTTATTATTATAGATAAAAAGAAAAACGATTTCTAATCTAAAAAAAGAAGAATAACAACAAATGTTTGATTATTACCATGTGATATATTATTGTTATCAAGATTGTATTTATTTACTTTTCTATAGTATACAAAAAAGAAACGAAAAGTATGTGTATCACTTATTTTCACATATCATACAAAAGACCAATAGTAATCACCGTAGATATGTGCATATCTCGCTGTCTACTTTGTTTATTGAAATTATAAACAAGAATATAAATTTTCAATTTATTACAAATTCAACAAGTAAAGATATCATACAATCATTTCAAGTACATACCTGTCTAAGATAACTTTGCGAAGGAAATTTACAAAAATAAAACCACAAATTTTGTTCATTGAATATATAATAAACAGATTATGTTTTCGATTGTGATTTTCGTTTAGAACGACTTCGTGATCGACTAGACTTTTTAGTAGGTTTTTTTTCTATTATTCTTCTCTGTCTTCTTTCGTATGGATTGTGACGATTTTTTTGGCTTTGACACGTTTTGAAGACTTGACTTTTAGTAGTCTTTTTGATTTATCTATTGTAGTTTTCACTTGAGCTGGTATATCTTTCTTGCCAGAAACAAATGGTACTGTATTTTCTTGCTGATTTTCTATTATTTGTGGCTGTTGTTGAACAGATATAGATTCTGATGAATATTTTTGTTGTTTTTCTTGTTGACGTTTTGCTGCTTGTATTGAATAATAGAGTAATTCAGCATCAAGTGGTAATAGAACTTCAGGATCAATAATTTTCTTATTATAAACAATGGGTGTATTAAGTATTTTGTATGCATCATCTGAACATAATGCATATGATGACCAACATGCATCGATATAATCATATTCTCCTGTTGATTTCGACCATTTTCGACAACTTTCAGCAGTATTTCGACCACATCACAAACAAAGTTGATGAGTTGGCCAACAAATATCTAAAATAATTCGTAGTTAATAATAATATAAAAGTCAATCTTATTATTTATCGAACTTTTACAACACATTTCTACATAAGCCGGTCGTTTAATAAGTTTTGGTAATGATTGCATTTATGAAAATGGTGGTTCTTCTGGTTTAGTTTTCCAACTAAAACTACGTGTAAAACGATGTGAATGTTTTTGAAAATCATCAGGAAATGCTTGTTGTGAATTACAAGCAGAACTTTTCGTTGACAATTGATTATTATATGTAGGAGATTCATTCAAACGAGATCGATGAACAAATGTTGATCGAGGTATTCGAACAATGCCATTCTTTGTCTTTATTTCGACACAATCATCTGATAGTAAAGATCTGGTAAAATTATTATTTTTCTCATTGAATGGTACATAAAATGTATTAGGTAATTTGAGCTGTGAATTATCAAGTACAGTAGATAAATTCGGTAGAGGAACATATAGAGGAGCATAGAGTGGTCGATTTATATAGTCTTTTTCAGTTAAACGACAATCTGGACAATCAATATTTGATGGTACATAATGAACACAATACAATCGAGAATGAGTATCGGCAGCAAGCATTCATTTATTTACTTAATATGTGCGCCTTTTCTTTGTAAAACTAAACAATAATAATAATTGTTAAAGACAAAAAAATAATAAAGTTACTTCATAAATCATTGATTTATTATTGAATAATGATGTATTTTTTTTCCTACTCATATGTTTTTTTCTTTCTTCGATTTGACGATTGCGAAATTGTTCGTGAGACAAAATATAAAACAGAATGAAAAAAAATAATAATTGCACAACATGTACCATCAACTAACATAAATACAGGTAAATGATGTATGTAAATCGGTCGAGCCGCGCTTTCGGACTTTACCATTGTACTCCTTCCTCATGAGCCATAAGCATTAGGATGCGAAATTTCGGTTTCGCAGGTCCGAAAGTAAATCGACACTCGACCTTAATTTTTTTTCAAGTCCAAACATAATATGTTTCTGCTTGGATTAGAAATCAATAACATTTTTTTTTTTCGATTGATTTGATCGTTAATGATGCTCGATTCTCTCGGAGTCATGAGGATTACGAAACTGTGAATTACAATTAATATTATGTATTTGATTTTTATTAGGTTTTTATATCAATGATTGAGAAGTATTTAATATTGACTAGATCTTTTTAAAATAATTATAGAAAACAAAAAGAAAAACCAAAATTGTAAATATATTATTGTTGTTTAAGTCACTTTTCGATGTTGTTTTTGCATTGAATATAATCGTGCACGTTGATAAATTGGATCATCATCGACATCTTGTGATGTTATACATCGACTAAGTATATAGACAATAATAAATGTCATAAAACCAAATAGAATATACCAAGATTTTTCATCAAAATGTGTTGGTAAACTAGATTGAAATTTAATAAGAATATTTTTTTCGATATAAATATACGGTCGAGTTAAAAACCCTAATAAACTATTAATAATACGCACTATGATTGATATTATAATCTATAATAAAATACCGAAAAATTTTCTTTTCAAATCTCTTCTCTATTTCACCGAAGTTTTATTCTATATATTTATTTTATTAATAGCTAATCACACTATAGGATGTTATTGATGAGGTTTTTTTCTATTTAAAAAAAATATAGGATTAAATGAAGACTTTAGAAATGGAACAAAGAAGACAAAAAAAAATGAGATTATTACACAAAAAATATAAAGAATAATGAGAAGAAATATATTTGCATATTCACTAATATTTTCTAGTCACATGAAATGTTTAGAATTTGTATCTATTATCGATAATTGATCTTGTCCGAAATTTGTAGGTGTTTTAGATATTTGATTTGTTGGTGATAGTATTGGTGAATTTGTTTTTTCTCGTGCTGTTTTTAATCGTTCAAGTTCTTGTAATAATTGACGATGTTGTAATTCAAGTTGTTTTTGACGAAAATTATTAAGTACTTCTAATTCTTCACATTCTTCCGCTAAAATCAAGAAAACAAAAATTTATTGTAAATATTTATTTTTCATTTAATAGTATTATTTACAAATAAAGAGATTTTCTGTTGTAGAATGTTCATCTTTAAGTTCAGCAACATGATCAAATATTAAACTATCAATACGTAATTCTAATAAACATTTTGATACTTCTTTATCACCTTAATTAAAATAAAAAATAAAGAATTAAAAAAAAAAATTTCTACGAAAGAAAATTCTTACTTGCTTCATCACCCCAAATAAATAATAATTTTCCATTATCTTTAACTTGTTTAACAAATTCTTTATTTGAAAGAATATCAAGTACTGGTGCAGCTAAACCTGATAAATGTTCGGTAATAACAAAATATAATCCAATATTAATCGAGCATGTTCGAACATCTAAAAATTGTGGCCAATCACCTTTTTCACCTTGTGTTAAAAATAAAACGGGAAATAATGTTTGTTTAAGACGAAGCATTGATGCACAATCAGGATCAAATGTTGATAGAATAATAACACGTTTACCAGCTAGAACAAAAACAAACGACAAATTAAAAGAAAGAAAATATCGATTTGTTTTCTATTTACCATGATTAATAAGACATTGAAGAATACAATCAATATATTCATTTCGTTCAAAATAATGATTTTGTTCACTTCCACCATGTCGATATTCCATAGCATATTTTATTTCAACATTAAATCCAAGATGAGAATTAAGTGTTTCAAAAAGTTCTTCTAATGTTGGAAATAAAAAACGAAATTGTTTTTTCATCATGTTGTTGTTGTTTTAATTGATTTACTGTTGTTGACATTTGATCATTATCTATATTTATTGATGATGTATATATTGTTGTTGTTGATGTTAAATTATTATTATTATTATTAATTGTATTTGTTTGTTCATCATCATCTAATTCTTCATCAACTTTTGATACATCTGTTTTACTTGCATGATAAATTTTTAATGATTATAATTGTGGTAATGTTAAATCTTTAACTGGTACAATAAATAATTCGGTTTGTTGTCTTTTACGTTTAAGTGTAATAGCAACTTGAAAATCATGATAAACAATAGGAATTTTATCTTTTGATAATTGTATATCAAATTCAACAAAATCAAAACCAAGTTGAAATGCACCTTTAAATGAAGCTAATGTATTTTCACTAACAAATTTTGTTTGAACAGGTCGTGTCGCTGATGGAAATGATGGTGTTATTGAATCATTTGTATGTTTTTTATTTAAGGGAGGCCCCCTCAGAAAATCGATTTTTTTCAAACAATATCGAAATTAAGTTTTTACCACAGGAAGATAGAGCGAAGCTTCCTCTTTCAGAATATATATAGATTTTTGGAAAATGATCCATTTTTCAAAGACTTGTCAGATCAGATTTTAACTTCCCGACCATATTTTCCGAGAAGTTTTCGTGGTTTTTTAAAGTTTCCCAGTGAAAAATATTTGCTTCAAAGAACGGGAAAGAACGCGTTCCGTAAAATAAAAAGCCGTTTTTTTAAGAAAAGAAAACGTTCCAACAAAAGTGAAAAGTGTTCTAAAATGGAACCATTAAGAACACATTCCATGGTTTTTGGAATGCGTTCTTAACTGTTCCAGCTTTTTTGGAACGTTTTCTTTTCTCAAAAAAAGCTAACTCTTTGTGGAACACATTCTTGATTGTTATTGCCTGAATATAGATTCACTATAGGAGTTCTCGAGGAGAAGTTCGGACATAATTTTTTGAAAGATCGATTCTAGTGCAACTCGACGAGCTCTATCCAATGGCGTGCTCTAATTTTTCGTAGCTCAAACTGTTATTTAAAAAAAAATTTTTGGAATCAGAACTGCCAGTTGTAAAGTATGACTAATTGAAGGTTCCACCATTTTTGGCATCAGTTTCAGGGTGCCGTACTTAAGAGCTGTCATTTTTGAATCAAAAGTGACGTTAAATTCAGATGAAAGCGTTCATCAGTCAAAAGAATCCATTCTCAGGTGGTTCTCAAGAGAATGTTAAAAAAAGCGGTCTCATTTCGATGGAATCCTATCTTGACTGTTTCGAAATAGAATGGGCAGACACACGTTCTATTGGTTCATGGAATGGTTCAGAATGCTTTCTATCCAGGTAGAGAACGATTTTTGAAATGAGAAGAAAGCATTCCGTACTAGTGTGGAACAGTAAAGAATGCATTGCTTTAGATTCAGAACTTTTCTTTTTGTTTGTAAAAACGTTCGCAAACCTATAGAACGCATTCTTCATGTAAAAGACAAGTCTCTACATTTTTATGAATGCGTTCTCTTCCGTTATTTTTAGAAATATTTTTCACTGGGATTTAATATGAATTTTTTTGAATTTGACCGAAAAAAATCACTTCTAAAACTTCTTTAAGGTTTTTCTCAGAACATGATTTCCAGTCAGAAAAATTGGAACTCTTCCCTCATTTTTCGAGCTATTACCAATATTTTTTTTTTGTTTTAAAGATCTTGTTCAGAGTAAACTTTTGTCCGAACGCATTTTTGAAAGTTGGTTCCTGGGCTGAGAAAAGTGGAATTTACTGTCGTTGGACTACCATTTTTTTATGCTAATTTTAAGACCCTTGCACTAAAATGCTCATAAAAAATGAACAATAAGGAATATAAAAATTCTGTTCAGACAAAAGTTGCGTACTGACATCAGGTTTAATTTGAAACCAGCCCGAGCTCTCTACCTCATCTGACGACGAAATTTTGTCGATTCTCCTGAAGGCCAAAAATGACCTATGAATCAGCTGGAACTCCGGTCTAGTACGACCAATCGAGCTGAAATTTTTACCGGAAGTGTATCTCTCCAGGATCACTCATCCCTGAAAATTTCAGCGCAAAAGGACCATCCTAAGTGGAAAATCATTTCTGAGCCCCCCCCCTTAAATCATTTGATGATAATGATTGATGTTTCGATGGGATATGTTCAGTATTTGTTTTACCTATAACAAAAGTTGTTGATTTGTTGTTTCTTTTTTTTTTTATATTCATACCTAAACCTCGATGACCAACATTAACTGGTCGTCAACCTTGACGCCAATATTTTGATGTTGAAACAAGAAAGTTTTGTTGAACACCTTCTAATGATGTTATTAATAAAACATCAACTTTTAATCGTCCAATACTAAATCAAACGTAAAAGTTTTTTTTCCTACAAAAACCATCAATCAATACGAACGAATTATGTTTAAGTCCAATAATTGGTACAGTACGATGAAAATGTTTATTATCTGCTAATTCAAGATTTGAATGTATTGGTAAAACATGAAAAACCAATATGTTTTCGTAATGGTGTTGTTTCATCAACAAGATAAAAATCAATATGATATGCAATATTTTCCGGTTCAAATGTTTGAATTTTAACAATCATATAATCATCTTTTTCAATAACAGCACCATAATCACTTTGAATATTAGCTTCACAACCTGATAAACGTAATAAAGCAGCTTGAATAAAAACTTTTAATGTTGGTGTAAATATTTGACCTGATGAATCAGATGATATTTCTTCATTTTCTTGTTGATAATTTAAATCTAAAATGAAATTTTTAGTAGAATTTAAAACAAAAAAA